GTGAGTTATGGGTTTTTGCGAAACACCTCCAGCATACTCTTTGATTCCTTGCTTCAAGACGGCGTGCTTCGGGAGTTGTGTATTTTTGGCAACTGTATGGTGAGTGTGGTTGTCCACACAAACGAAATTTCCGTGACTTCTCCGAAAATTGCTTCGCCTTATCCCATTTTGGCTTCTCGACGCGAGCATTGTGGTGGCTGCTTGATCGGGAGTTGCTAGGAAAAAGGGTTTCCGTTGTGAGCGAAGTCGTTTCCCTCAGTGAGATGATGCTGTCGATTGCGTCCAGAATCTCCTGAACACTAAACTGATCTCCTCGTGTGATTTCTTTCTGGATGACTGTTGCGCAGAAGTTTTCGGGAAATTTAGACAAGATCAGTCGCCGCCAAATTCTGTCCGCGTCCATCTTCATTCCGGTTTGCTCCAGGTGGATGATCCGCGAATTAATTGCTTCGAAGGTTTCTCGGCAGCTTTTGGGATGGTATTTTGCTTCTTGAAGTCGTTCGATTTCATTGATGTGTATATCTACGATGTTGGCAGAGCGGTCAAAGTGCTTCTTCAGAATGTCTACGGCTGTCTTGTACTTGTCTGCGACAACAGGGATGCAGTTCAGAGCAGCAGCCGCTTTTCCTTTGAGTGCTTGCCTCAAAAAAAGGAATTTGTCGCCATCTGATAAGTCTTCATCGCAGTGAATCAGTGATTCGAACACTGTCCAAAAACTGTTGAACTCTCTGAAGTTTCCAGAGAATGTGGGAATCTCTAGAAGCGGTTTCCGCACTTTGATCTGGCGTTCACTTCGTTCCGTTACTGAGCCTTGTCCTGTCTCGCTTGCTGATTGGCTTGGGATACTAGGAGCAGGCGTATGCAAAAGTGTGGTTTGCTGGCTCAGTTCATGTTGTCTGAACTGTATTCGGTTTTGCCATTGAACTGCCATCACTTCCAGATCGAGTGCTTCCAGCTCCAGATGCTTGCTAAGTTCAACCATCAGCTTCTCTCGTTCCTTTTCTTCACTACGTGTGATGTACTCAATGGCAGCGTTTTGCTGTGTTTCTTGCAGTTTCACAGCGTTTTGCAGAGAATTGAGGAGATTTGTTATTACTCCTGCCTTTTCTTTGATATATTCTTCACATTCCCCTTTTGTTGTTGGAAATACGAAGGGGACGTCTATGTTCTCCACTTCGGACTCGTAGGATTTTACGAGCTTGCAGGCGTTATTTATTTTGATTTTGAAAAGTTGAAGTGCGGCCGTCTTCGAGATTCAATTCCGACTTCTTTTCCTTTTGTCCTACAGCAAGTTGGTTGCTTTGCTGTTTCTTCAATGTACAAGTCAGCGAGGTTTTCGCAAACTTGCAGGCTCGTTAGTGGTGTTGTTGAATAGAGACAGCTGTGTGCTGATCTCTGATGAGCAAGCGTGCTTAGGTGGCTTGAACGCTGTGCTGACTGGTAAGGTGGCTTGGACCTTGACCAGATAAGGATTGGGTTTCAATCCTTCAAGTCAAGAGTTCTTGGTCGAACTTTGACTTTTTTGGCAAAATGAGCTCTTGTGACTCAAGTTACCTTCCTTTCAAATCTCAATGTATTGATCTCCGGTCCTTGGATAGGATTCGCGAGAGATCTATGAGATTGATTGGAAATTTGCACCCACAAAATTTTGTTCCGCTCTCTGGATCACTTACGAAAAGGATTCACAGAAAGTTTCACGGTCTTATGTGGTTATGTGCTGCACTCATAAAATTTGTTCCGCTCTCTGGATCACTTACGGAAAGGATACACAGAAAGTTTCACTTTTAATGTGATAATGTGCTACCTTCTGATTTCTCTTACACCTTTCTGGATCACTTACGAAAAGGATACACAGAATTTTTCAGATGGTCAGTGGTATTCCTACTGATTTCTCTTACACCTCTTTGGATCTCTTACGAAAAGAATACACAAAGATTTTCAGATAGTCAGTGGTAGCCTTCCGATTTTCTTACACCTCCCTGGATCTCTTACGAAAAGGATACACAGGAATTTTCAGATCGTCGGTTGGTTGTCTTCCTGCCACGCGGGTCTTCTGGCCTCGATTCCTCCGGTTGCAGATAGAATACGAGGTGGCTTCACTGGTCGATGCACCAATTTGGTGGGAACCAAGTGTAGTAGGCGATAGTGGTGTCGATAATAATTTATCCACAGATGAACATAACAAACACTAGGGGATTCCTTTTATACAAGTAAAAGGGGCGGAATACCCGACGACAGGGCGCCGTAGACGGGCTACAGGCTTAAAAGGGGAAGCCGCCGTAGAGGTCGACTCCCGCTGCACAAATGTCACTCAATGTTCGAGTGATTAGATACTTCACCAAAAGTGGATGGAAATATAGCCTATGGACGCTCCATAGGCTATTCTAAAAATAAGCTCTAGGTTGATGACCAAGAATCATCAACAAGCACGAATGTGGTCTTATGCGCGCATGGCATAATTCTAGATATGCTCAGTTGTTGAATATGCTACCGCATGTTCTTCAGTGTCTTTGAGGCGAACAAGTTTGTCATACCTCATTTACTGAGCCTAAAGTTTCGGCACTAATGAATTTCTCAGAGACTCAAAAGAAGTCGCACAGCAGTATGAGGACACCCACTAATGATAGATAAATGAATGAGCTGGCCCATAAGCAAGCAGCTTAAATAGTGTTGGTGCTAAACTGACAAAAAGGGATAAACGGCATCAGATTGTTGGCTGTTGAAGGTTGTTTGTTTTTGCGATCTTGAGCGCGCGATAGGATGAACGACCCTTCCAAGGCTTTGCGTGCTCGATTTTGCTATGGAAAATAATGTAAATAATATCTAAATATATCCAAAGAAAATAATATCTTGCGTGCCATTTTGAGAGGTTCTATTCGTTCGCTTTCGCGCTGCATACGTCTACAGCTGTCTTGAACATGTTGCGCAGAACCGCACATTTTATGGCAATCGGATGAGCAAACAGCGAGGCAGAGGAACGAACACTTCAATTAGGCACCGAGTTCGGACTACGGTTCTAACGTGATGCACAAACAGTAAGACGAAAGGACCAGCACCCCGCGAAGGCGTTGTCTAATTGAGGTGTTCGTTCCTCTGCCCCGTCAAGTGGTATACAAGTAGAATACCAAAAATGTCATTCTGCACGCTGTCTACGGTATTCTCGGGGCGATACCATTTGACGCTCCCAGTGCCATGCGACAGCATTATCTGTGCGTTCAGAGACGGCAACCAACCATCTCGAGGCTTTTCCCTCGTAAATCGTATCTACGCGTTTGTTGGTTCAAATTTAAGGACTGTGTCGTCGTTATCAAGCAACATTCGTCAATCTGTCTATCTGCATTACGTAAATGGGCTTCTGGACAGCACTTCCAATCTGCTCATGAAGCAGATCGCGAGCATCGGAGCAAGTCTTTAGCCCATTGCTAGTCCTCTCAAGTGTTAGTTCCCGTTAGGTTCCCTCCCACTTGAAGATGTTGCAGTTGAGACACTCCTTAATGAGAGTCATAAGAAGCGCTTTGCCGAGACTTGACCCGTGTGCAAATACAGGGTGTCCCAAAAAAATGTGAACACTGTTTGATTGTTAATAACTTCCTTGCTTTTATGTCTTTCGCCGAGCATAAGGCACCATTCTTTAGAGCGAGGTTCAACTTAGATCTGCAGTATGGCGCGAATCGTCGATCATTCATCATTACTGTAGGATTACGGTAGGAACTTCGACAAGTATTTTAGGTTATTGGATGCCATATTCTGCCTCGGAACAAAACCAAACAAGCCAAAAACTCTTACACTATGGTAATGGCAGCCGCTGATTTCGAATATGAAGTTTCCACTTTACTGCGATGCTTCTTTCCATGGTTATCCCAAGTAAACCGTAATAACCGACTTTCCAGCATTTGTCAAAAATGTGATTACACCGTCAAAAAAGCTAAAAACACTTGTAAAGTTGTGCAGCAGAATCAAAGTGCCCGAAAACCCTAGTATACGATTTTACAGATTTTTTGGAAAAAATTTTGTCAAATGGCATATTTCACAGTGGATCCACATGCTGAAAGTTCATACCGTAATCCTACAGTAAGTAAAGAAGAGCGATCGATGTTTCGCTCCATGCTATAAATCTAAGTTGAACCTTGCTCTACAGAATGATGCCTTAAGCTCGGCGAAAGACATGAAAGCAACGGAGTTATTAACGATCAAACAGTGTTCACATTTTTTGGGACACCCTGTATATCAAAAAGCGCCTGTGAAGCATTACTGTTGGACACATTCCTATACAGCGACGTTACCTCGAACAAGTCTATGACGCAACTATCTAATTCAGCTGTTCGCTACCTTGCAAGGAAATGTCTCGTACTGTTTAACCGGAACGCTATTTTGCACAGGAGCTGGGCAACATTCTTAGGAAACCACTTTTTTGGCAGTGAGAGCTGGGCATTGCGGTGCGATAGCATTCCCAAAGCAATCAGTGATGTGGCAAAAAGCGCGTCTAGAGAGCCTAAAAGTCGCTGCGGAAGTGTACTGGAGTCTTCCTCAACATCTAGCCATTCTTCGTCTTTCACGAAAAAGCTGCAGAGTCGAGTGCACCAGCATCTTCGCTCCCGCGTCACCTGGATTTTGCATTTCTTTCGCTAACCTGCTTCTTATCAACTTCCCAACACGAGTTAGGTCGGGGAAAGGCGGAGCTTAAATCGCTGATCCGTGCGAAAGTCATTGAGCATGTTCGCGAAAGAGGTGCAGAGTCCAGGCGAGGCGGCCATGCAAGCGGCGCTGGTGCACCGGATTCTGCAACTGATAAGCCCTGCATGATACCGCTCGCAATTTACGAAGATCGCCGAAAATCATCGAAGTGCGGCATCGGAATCTTAAATATTTGGATTTGTCGACTGAAAAGTTCCATGAGACACACGGTAATTTCGAGGTGGGAGTGCTCTGTAGGGCAACTGCGCTCGGCCATGTAAGTGGCTGGCCCTTTTCTCTCAAAACATCGCTTGACATTTACTCACCATTCCGGGCTGTGGCTCCGTTACACGTACGAGAAATTGCCCATCTTCGGTAAGTAGCCTGAAAAGAAATTAAAGTGGTTCGAATTATATGCTCAACTGCGTATGCGAACGGACAGGAAATTGATGCGTGCGACTCGCAAAAGCAAATGAATCGAAACAATGACAAAACGCATTCGGAAAGCCTAAAATCCGCTCTGGAAGTTTTTGGGACCTCGCCCCTTAGTTTTAGACCCGGCCCAGTTACACGTATTTTGCAGCGAATGCAGACATGGAAAGCTTTGAAAAAAGCTCATTTTGGCCATTTTTATGCGCCGCAAAGCCCCGATATGGGTTCAGCATCTCAGACAAGTGACCGGAACTTCCGCAGAGCGCTTGCGGAAGTTCCGCCGGGTCAGCTGCGGAAGTTCCGTAAACGTGCTGCGGAAGTTCCGAAATGAGGTCTTGCGGAAGTTCCGAAGAATGCCAAAAGAGAACACTGAAGCGAGATTTGAACCTCACTCTATTGACTGTAAGACCCACCTACTATCCTCTACGCTACCGCTGACATCTTATATATAAAGCTGAATGTCTGTTTGTCTGTCTGTATGTCTGTCTGTCTGTCTGTGTGTACGTATGTTCCGAATAGAAAATTCCATTTCTGAACCGATCCGGACCAAACTTGGCACACATACACTACGGGCCCCGGCGGGTGTCATAGGCTACTTTTCGTCATCGATCGATGTCGATTTTATCGATTTTTATCGATTTTTTTGCTGAGTTCACCTACGGGGCTGGGAGTTCGCACAGGGGGGTAATCGAGCATGGGGATTCCGAATACAATATTGGTTTTCAGGATTATCGATTACTTTTATCGATTTTATCGATTTTTTTGCAAAGTTTGAGCTACGGGGCTGGGAGTTCGCACAAGGGGGTAATCGAGCATGCTGATCACCCCCAAGGGGGGTGATCAGCATGCTCGATCACACCCCTGTGCCAAATTCCAGCCCCTAGCTCAAATTTTCAAAAAATCGATAAAATCGATAAAAGTAATGGACGATCTTGAAAACTAATATTGTGTTCGTAATCTGCATGCTCGATTACCCCCCTGTGCAAACTCCCAGCCCCGCAGGTCAAACATTACAAAAAACTCGATAAAATCGATAAAAGTAATGGACGATCCTGAAAACTAATATTGTGTTCGTAATCAGCATGCTCGATTACCCTCCTGCGCAAAATCCCAGCCTCGCATGTCAAAATTTACAAAAAATCGATAAAATCAATAAAAGTAACCGATAATTCTGAAAACTAATATTGTATTCGGAATCCCCATGCTCACTTCCCCCCCTGTGCCAACTCCTAGCCCTGTAGGTGAACTCTGCAAAAAAATCGATAAAAATCGGTAAAATCGACATCGATCGATAACGAAAAGTGGACTGTGACACCCGCCGGGGCCCGAAGTGTATGTGTGCCAAGTTTGGTCCGGATACGGCGGAGCCGGGTAAGCCAGCTAGTGTTCTATAATGCACTCTAGCTGTTGGCGAGGCAACATCACGAGACAACACATTCAAACTCCTGCGGATGTTCTGGCAGGCCAAAGTACTGCGGAACCTCTGGCATTTTTCGGAATTTCCGCAGGATTTTGGGTTCTGAGGAAGTTCCGGTTTCCAAACAGTTTGGCATGAAAATCCCGCGGAAGTTCCGACTTTCAACGTTTTCATTTTTGCAATGGTGAACAGAATCCTGCGGAACTTCTGCAAATTTGGCTTGTCCTGCGGAAGTTCCGGTCATTTGTCTGAGATGGAGGGGAGTCTTCGAAAAGGTGAAAAATTGGAAAGCGAAATTTTGCCGGGACACTGCCTCTAAGGCTCGGCTTTGCACTGTACCTCTGCGAGTTGAGTTTCTGATTCCAAGCCATAAAATTGCTCTAGCTTACAAGGGAACGATACTTGGTGTCGTGGCCTTTTGAGATGAAACTTATACTATCACACTCGTTTTAGAACGCTGATTCCAAATCTGACTTCCTTTCCTGCTAATCGTTTCTCTGAAAGAAGTTATAAAGGATTTTCGCGTCAATGGTCGCCTAAGAGAAATGCGGCCGAGGACGCCTAAATTTCAAGAAGAAGCTTGACTGAGGCAATGCAAAACTGAAAAACACAAAAGGACTCGAACCTAAGCCTACATTAAAGGCAGTATCCGGGCAAAAAGTCGATTATGAGATTTTGTGCCTACCCGGGCCTATTCACTATGCTGAATCCGAAAATCCACATTGGAAAGCGCGAAAACGGCAAAGAAGGGCTCTAACACAGGAGGGAAATCGGAAGTGGGCGGGGTCGTCCCCACTGTGAATTTCGCAGTCCCAGCTTCTGGAGCGATCTTCCCAATTCCTCTAGCGCCCTGAGATCTCCACAGGCTAGGTGCGAATGCATGACTTGAAATCGGAACCGAGAAGATCGCTCTGGAAGCTGGGAGCGTGAATTCACAGTGGGGAGGACCGCGCCCACCTGCTGATTTCTCTCCCGTGTTAGAGCCGTTTTTCGCCATTTTCGCGCTCTCGAATGTGCATTTTCGGATTCAGCGTAGCGAATAGGCCCGGGTAAGCAAAAAATGTCAAGATCGAGTTTTTGCCCGGACACTGCCTTTAACTTGCGAGGCTATTGCACTAGCCACTACAATACATCTTAGCGGCGGTTTTGGCATTCCAAACACGTCTCCTTTGACGCAAAATCCCTCATAACTTCATTTAGAGAAACGATTAGCAAAAACGGAAGTCAGATTCGGAATCAGCGTTCCAAGATATGTGTAATGGTATACATCTCATCTCAAAAGGCCACGGACACCAAGTATCGTTTCCTTGTTAGCATCGTACCAGAAAATATAACAACAAGACGTAACACCTTCCCACGTCGCAAATAACAGCGAGAGCTACTGTTTTTACGGCAAAAGCAAAGAGATCGCGTTCTGCGCTTTCCAGCGCTTCTGCCCCCCTCCCTCCCTTCCACCCCCCATGATCCGCAGCCTTAACTTGGCGTGGAGGTTGCATCGAACTGCAATGTAAAGCCGATTCTAGCAGGGCTTCCCCACTGCGAAGGAATTTCTGGTTTGGGCCGGATGACTAGCTAAGACCAGGCCAGATCCCAGCCGCCTGGCTTTTTGATTGAACGGCCCCGCCCCACAAGTGGAGTTAGCTTGGCCTAGTAACTCTGCTCGTGGGAAAAAAGTTTCTTACTCAGTCAGCTACAAAAAGAGAAAGAAGCTCTGCACATCGGATCCCGCCTACAGTGCCGAGTAGTAGCAAGAACGATGTCACGATCCTTAAGGCCTTTTCGACCAGACAAGAACTACACGTATGCCCGGGCGACATGGAGACTGCCCGATGTTAGACACTCATCGCCAGAACAGTTTCCACAAACGCAGTCCGCGCGCTTCTCCAAGCTGCACTGCACATCAAGTACCAGATCATCGCTCTACAGGAAACGAAGTCTAGAGATAAGGACGTGCGACAGATGAGTGATGGGACCCTCATTAATAGTTGAGGAAGTTTTATCACGACTTCGAGGCGTTGGCCTTGTCGTCCACTCATCCATTGTCCATCTTGTCGATTCGCATGAGATCTTATCACCTCGACTAGCCATCCTACGACCACGTTAGAAGACCATCAGCATCATCATCTCTGTTACTCCTTAACATCAGCAGCTAGGAAATCAAAAGTACAGGGCTCCTAAATTGCAGAGTCGTTCGTACCAGCGGTCGCGCGACCGCGTCGCACCCGGGCATTTTGCCGGCGCCGGCGCCATCGATAGGCGGCGCCATTGATGCCCGGGCGCGACGCGGTCGAGCGACCGCTGGTGCAAACGACTCTGCAATTTAGGAGCCCTGTAGTCTGCGAAGATGTGGAAAATATGGTCCGCAACGTAAATCTTTCTACAATTTTAAATTAAGCGACTTCAATGCGAAAATCGTGATGCCATTAGAAAGGGGATATAGGATCGGGAAGTCGAATATGGGCTCTGGAATAGAATTAGCGACCGTCTCGTCGGGCTTCTCTCCGCCACAAGACTTTTCCATGAAAATTTTCATGAAGAAAGAAAATCGCTTGTGGACATAGGAGACGTCCGGAGATCGACCACATTCTCACCAATCGAAGCTAGAGCTAGTTTCACTATTTCATCCTTCTGCTGTGGCTCCGATCACCTTCTTCGAGCGAAGGTACGACTTATTCCAGAGCTGGAAAAGAAGGGCTATCACATTGCCGCAAGAAGGAATGAAGTTGTTCATGATGGAAACAGGTTGGAAGAGCTCACATCAACTTGTCATTGGCTTACGTGCGACTACGAGCGACTTTTGAAAGAGTCTGCGGAGAGTGCGCCTCAGTGACCTCTGAGGAGAACTTACGCATTTTGAAGACCATCAAAGAATTCAAAAGAAGGAGATCATTGAGGCAGGATCCGAATGCAACCCATCTCAAGCGATAATAGCCAATTGCAGAATGGATTTGCACGAGGATCTCAGGATTTACAGGCAAGACAAGATACCTGAAGCAGCCCAATTTGAGAAGTGCAGAAGGGACTTGTGAATATCGCGTACCGCCGGCTCTACTATTGAACGAGACAAAACCCCGACCTCTTCCCGATTGGAGATGGAATCGATCGCGAAGGACTTTTATACCAACTCTTTTCACTAATTAACCCGTGACTATCGCCGTTGTCCCCACTGAAGTAGTACCACCATGAATTCCACCTGCTGAGTTGCGCATCGCGATTCAACTTGAAGGCATCCACGGTTCCAGGACCAGACCACCTTTCCGTTGTACTTTTGCGAGCCAGAGGACAAAATTTACACGAAATTCTCGCGTCGAATCTAACCCTTACCCTCAAAAGGAGAGCCTTCCCGACCAACGGAGAACTTCACGAATGAAAAGATTTTCGAAACCCTCCAATATCCTGCCGAGTGTGTAGTACAAGCTTTCCAAGAGAGTTATCCTTGTTTGCATATCTAGGGCATTGGATGAAGTCCAGCCCCAAAACAAACTAGATTTCGCAAAGGACTCAGTTGCCCCATATTCAGACGGCTACGTGGGTTATAGAAACCTGTCTGCCATGAGTTTCAACTGCCTCTCGCCCTAATACTCAAGCACGGGAAAGCCTTTGACATTGTAGAAACTAACAATGTCAAAGGCTTTCCAAGGCAATTAACTTCATCCTGTCAGCGCTAGTCAACCAAGGAGTGGCCCACTTTGAGCAGCCGAATGCAGCAAGCAATGTACAAGACGATGCAACTATTCTATCGCTACCTGACCATCCCAGTTGTAAAAGGGGACCGACAAGGCGACACAATCTTGCCCAAGCTGTTCACCGCGGTCTTGCAGTGGGTGATGAAGTCACGAGAGTGAGACAAGAAAGGCATACGAGTTGATAGGAGATTTCTTTCCAACCTTCGTTTTGCGGACGACTCGTTCTGCTTTCGGGCACTGAAGTAGAGATAATGCTGAGGGAACTAAACTAGGGAAGAGATCGAATTGCGAATGAATCGGAAGAAGACTTAGTTCATGAAGAACACATTTGCGGCGATGCGGAATGGAACTGAAAGGCATCACTATGATGAAGATGTTTTCTTATGTGTATTTCGAACGTTCGATGAACATGAAGAACGACTTGAGGGATAGCAGGAGAAGAAGAGCAGCCTGGACCGTCTTCGGGTCTCTGAAGGAAGCCTTAACTAACTGACGGATTCCACCTGTCTTTTATGCAGCTGAGACCTGGGCCGACACTGTAGCCACGTCAAAAGCTCTACGGACCATCCACAGAGCACTTGAGCGCACTCTTCTAAAGATGACCCAACACAAAAAACATCTTGTCGGGCTTCGCAAAGAAGTATTTCCTGTCTTTGTGATTCAGCGGAATACATTGCGAAAGCGAAGCATTGATGAGCCGGCCACTATGAGAAGAACAGAGACAAAAACTAAAAACAACAGGGTGGATTCCTAGCGAAGCAAAACGACTCTAAGGAAAACTTCCAATGAGGTGGGCAGACGTATTCAGGGAACGGATGAACCAGCGGAGAAACTAGCTGGATTTGCACCTGGAACTCGCAACCACTGCCATCGAGCCATCCAAGTTTCTAAGTATAAGTAGTAACAATAAGTACTTAATACTTAGTACTCTAACAGCATCCCACCTCATAACACTTCAAAAGAGACCTTAAGATATCGGGAAATCTGTGCAGAGTCATAGGAAACGTCGTTTTCAAAGTGCTTGAAGTCAACGCGTGCCGTGCCCTGGGTCGCTTCCGTACCGCGATTGGATGTAAAAGGTAATACCGCTTTTGCGCTGGTTGTTAAGCCCAGTGCTCACCTGTTGATGTCCTCACGAGGAAGGAATCCATGGAACCACTGCTCTCGCTCATGTTCGTTTGTGTCAGCGGTGCTAAAAAATTATATGTAGCAAAAACAAGGATGAGCAATGTAGTAATGGGTAGACTCCGCTAATCAAATACAATCTTTGAACATCCGCAAGAACATTAAGGTCTATAATAGATCTTCATTGTGCAGAGATGCGCTCAGTTTTTTTTGGTTGAGAGTCGCTCGTATAGACGTGTGGTGGCCGTGGCATGTGAAAACACTTTTGCTGTGCGTTTTTGCCCAATTGAGCGGTCAGCCGCAGCGCACCCAATTCAAAGAAGGCAGGCGAGACTATGTGCGTACCTCCTACGGCTTTCTGAGGACATGATTCGAGTAGAAATGAAACATGCCATTTAAGCGTTGTTTGCCAAAGTGCTATCATTTGTGTATAGTCATGACTTAAAATAAGCGGCTAAGGATGTTTACGTCTTTTTGTGTGTATGTCCGTGTGTGTGTGTCTGTCCGTTATGAGATTCGTAGAACGTGTTCCAGATGAAATTCGTAGAGCGTGTTCCAGCCAACGTCCTGAGCCCAAATTTTGCATAGCGCTCGCTACCAGCATGAAAGCTCACTATACAAAAATACGAGCGGATCCGTTGAGTGGATTCGTTGAAAATTGCGCGTCAAACGGATTCACTTGGCTTCTGGCCAGCAAATTTGGGTCCGTAGTACTTTTTGCAGAGTTATGGATATATTTGACAAGTTAATGTGCAAGCCATGGTCGTTAGCCTAAAGAAGTGATGAAAAGTCTACGACTTACGAAAACAGCGCTAGAAAGTACTGGCTGTGTAAACGGTCAATTTTTCAAGATTTTGCCTGATCATTTAAGAAGATTTTTACACAAAGATGTAGTGTCGCGTCTCGCAATGCAAGGCGCTCCTCGAAGTACGGAGGCCGGGGGCATCGGTTACCGCGCTATCCGGCAACGATTTCGGCAGCCGAGACGCGTGTTGCCGCGATCGTTTCCGGACCTCTCCTTTATTGGCTCGCTGCCAGCCAGGCGGCTATATAAAGCGGCGGCGCCTCATTTGGGTGCCTTGTTCGCCTTCGTCTTATTGATTGATTTTAACATCTTGTTCGAATTACATTTCAGCCGCTTTGCTCCCGTCCTTTTTCGTAAGCAGTTGAGCCGGATGTCTTTTGGATTGGAGAACGAATTCCTTTTTGTTAGCGCAATTCGACCCGCCTAGTACTAACCGGAAATCATCTACAAGAGCTGGAGGGGACGTGCCGTCGTCTAAGGGCCTTGGCGTTGCGCGGTGGATTTGTTGCGCGAAACCTCGAGAGCCTCATGTACTTTTGAGATTATCTGTAGACGCGCATCGGTAGCATGGGACGGGCCCTCGTCCCGTGTTTTAGTAGTAGTAGTATTTGTTTTTGTTTTAGTGTAGTATTCTTTTTTATCTATTTTAACTGTAGTTTAGTGTCATAAGGATAAACCACTCAACTAGCCTTATGTTCTGTTCTGTCGCGCGTTAGTGCGCAGTAGGCTAGGTACGTTGCTTAGTATCGGGCGAGCATCAGGCCTCGGGTAACATCTAGGTGCCATGAGCCCACCGAGTCGCCACATGTAGCCCACGATTTTACTGTCATCATGGCAACTATGAAGCCATAAAAATTCCAAAAACCTATGCAAATTTGCTCTGTTCTTCTGGAAAGGGTTTTATCTACGCGAAAATACCGATTTCACACGAAAACCTCTAGGAATGAGTAGTTGTTTACGAATCATTCGTAATAGCCTACACAGCGCCGTGAGTTTCAATGCAGTTATTATGCGGGAGTAAGTAAGGCCTAGATAAAGTAGGGCCAGTGCGAGCCTCAGCGAAGCAGAGGTGACGCACTGGTATACTATAGAGAGGTAATATAGGCCTCGACCAAACCATTGGAAACATTGCCTATATCACTTACTTAGCCGAATACCCTAATGACCCGTTCCGTCTTCACACGTGTGCGACTCTCATCATAAAAGTTTTCTTTTGCCATATTCTTCGCATCAGATATCCATTATCACCTTACTTGATCGGTCTTTGCGCCCACGAGTTTCAGGGCGAATATATATCCAGCTGATTTCTAATCCGACCCATCCGTTCCACGAACACTCTGGTCATCCCGTTGGTGGTCATGCTCAAAGACGGTTTGCTTCGCGAGGTATCCACTCTGATGTTCTTAGTGACCATCTATCGTCTGATCTTCTCAAAAAATTACCGGCTCCTTAATGTATCCGCTGAGTCACGAAGGCGAGTCATATCCGTACTGCAAAGTCCGACGAGATGTAGCTTGTGTTGAGTCATGTTTAGAAGACTGCTCAAGCACTGAATGGGTAATTTGTAGAGCTTTCGACGTGGCTGCAGTGTCGGCTCCGTTCTAAGCTGCATAACAAAACCCTGAGAGAACGGTTATATGAACGGGTGGGCTTAAAGCATCAAGTCCATCTCCAACAACTGGTTGGTGGCTTCTCAGTGGTGCAAAAAGGGGGGGGGGTAAGCTGCTCTTCTTCTCCTGTTGAGAGAATGGTCATAACTGAACCCAGCTATTCCAAGCAAGCTATAGATCATCGGAATCGCCTTGGAACGCTGATCTCAAATATATGTTAACAGTGTGCCACCTCCGCTTTGCGAAGGTTCGCACTGGTTTTGCTATCCGTAAACCTTTCTCGTGCTCGCATAATCGCATACTGATGACTTTGAAACTCGCCGAGCGATGCTGAACATTACAAAAGAACTGTAAACAACTGTTCATTCTTAAAGCACCTCCATGTAAGATCGGTAATTTTTGAGAAAGGAAATTTTTTGCAAGGGAACAAATGCGAACTTCAATGAATTACTAAAATTATTTTAGTTTGATAATCGTCATAAGGAAAATAATCATTTCAAGCTACATTTCCGTGCAAAAATCTTTTCAGTTTTCTAGGTAGAACCTTGCCAAATCGAGTATCTTCGCGATCACCACTTTTTGGCGCTGTTTTCGCAAAAAAGCAAACTCCATGGGGCGCAGATTTACTTGTCAGGCAAATCGTGATTTTGCAAAAAGTCGAATTAGCTATTCAGTTTTGCGTGTCAAAAGCCGCGTGGACCCGTTTGACGCGCAAATTTTGAAGGGCCCGCTTATTGCACCGGCTCCTCCTTGTGCATGGTGGGTCTACATGGCGGTACGCTATTTTACACAAAATTGTAGCTCGAAAGCTTGATTGTAGTTTCCTCTGTGAATTTTGTGACAGACAGATATACACGCACGCACAAAAAGACAGACGCTTAGCGTTTTATTATAAACCAGTGCGTCACCTCTGCTTCGCAGAGGCTCGCACTGGCCCTATTTTCCGTATGCCTTACTCATTCCCACATAATAATGACATTGAAACTCACCGCGCTATGTAGGCTATCACGAATAATTCGTAAACAACTACTCATTCGTAGAGGTTTTCCATGTGAGATCGGTATTTTCGCGTGGATAAAACCTTTCCCAGAAGAACAGATGCAAATTCGAATACGTTTTTGGAATTTTTATGGCTTGGTAGTCGCCGTAAGGACAATAAACATAGTGGGCTACATCGCTGTGCAAGAATCTTCTCAAATGATTAGGTAGAATCTTGAAAAATTGACCGTTTACACAGCGAATGCTTCTTGGCGCTGTTTTCGTAAAGTAGTAGACTTTTCATTACTTTTTTAGGCTAACATTTATGGCTTGCACATTAGCTTGTCAAATATATCCTTAACTCTGCAAAAAGTAGTACTACGGACCCAAATTTGCTGGCCAGAAGCAAAGTGGATCCGTTTGATGCGCCATTTAAAATGGATCCACTCAACGGATCCGCTCATGATTTTGTATAGTGAGCTTTCATGCTGGTAGCGTGCGCTATGCAAAATTTGGGCTCAGGACATTGGCTGGAACACGCTCTACGAATTTCGTGACAGACAGAGATTCACACACACACACACACACACACACACACACACACACACACACACACACACACACATACACACATACACACATACACACATACACACATACACACATACACACATACACACATACACACATACACACATACACACATACACACATACACACATACACACATACACACATACACACATACACACATACACACATACACACATACACACATACACACATACACACATACACACATACACACATACACACATACACACATACACACATACACACATACACACATACACACATACACACATACACACATACACACATACACACATACACACATACACACATACACACATACACACATACACACATACACACATACACACATACACACATACACACATACACACATACACACATACACACATACACACATACACACATACACACATACACACATACACACATACACACATACACACATACACACATACACACATACACACATACACACATACACACATACACACATACACACATACACACATACACACATACACACATACACACATACACACATACACACATACACACATACACACATACACACATACACACATACACACATACACACATACACACATACACACATACACACATACACACATACACACATACACACATACACACATACACACATACACACATACACACATACACACATACACACATACACACATACACACATACACACATACACACATACACACATACACACATACACACATACACACATACACACATACACACATACACACATACACACATACACACATACACACATACACACATACACACATACACACATACACACATACACACATACACACATACACACATACACACATACACACATACACACATACACACATACACACATACACACATACACACATACACACATACACACATACACACATACACACATACACACATACACACATACACACATACACACATACACACATACACACATACACACACACACACACACACACACACACACACACACACACACACACACACACACACACACACACACACACACACACACACACACACACACACACACACACACACACACACACACACACACACACACACACACACACACACACACACACACACACACACACACACACACACACACACACACACACACACACACACACACACACACACACACACACACACACACACACACACACACACACACACACACACACACACACACACACACACACACACACACACACACACACACACACACACACACACACACACACACACACACACACACACACACACACACACACACACACACACACACACACACACACACACACACACACACACA